AGAGGTTGGAAAGCTGACAGAAATCAGAGGTGAAGGGAACGAGAATTTTTGCTATTGAGAAACGAGGCTAAGTCGGCCCCGCAATTTTTGCATTAATGACACTGGCTACTAGGAGACAGAATTATTCACTTGTGTTTTAGGTTTTCTTTCCTAACTCACTAGTCAGGGGGAAATGCTTAACAGATGCCCAAATATGTTCTTCACTGGTATTTTATGTCAAATTTTTTGAAAGATAGCATTTAAAATGTTACTTTAATCTACTAAACATGGATTCTTGTTCCCTCCAGGGTATGATATTGGAACGCTTATAAGGCTCAAGATATTAAGAAGTCATTAAACTGTTTTACCTTTCTATAGAATGCCAGTGAAGATTCTGTATTTTCAATGTATTGCGAGAGGGGGGAAAAAAAAAATCGATGTTCTATACATGTATACTTCTACCTCCCACCTCACCAAGAAATGTATTTCTCATCGGGAAAAAAAATCCTTGGAGTGATGTAGGTGTTAGTGATGGTTTAAAAGATACAGATGAAGACTGTTCAGTATGACTACATTTTCTTTTAAGGAATCCTTTAAACTGACTCATTCAACTGCAGAGTTCTGTTGACCATTTAGAAGACCACTGGATCAGATTATTCCACATAAAACAGATTAAAAACACAACTTAGTAGAATGTTAAAAGGCTAAAAAGAAAGAGGTTGAAGAACCTGAAAACTAGCTACCTAAAAAAAAATTTTTCAAATGCAGTCGAAACTGATTAAATAATTAGTTTAGTGTTATCAATATCTTCATCTTTTTGCAATACCAGTCCACAACAACCTACTGAACTAACTCGGAGAAAGGGCGACCGCCTCAAACACTGCTGACACAGCCCCAGAACCCCTCGCAAGGGGGCAGGGAGGACGACAAACGTAAGGGCGCAAGTTACAACGAACTGAATGGAAGGGGGTGTGCTTGGTTGGCTCAGTCGGTAGAATATGCGACTTGTGTTCTCAGGGTTGTGAGTTCGAGCCCCATGTTGGGTGTGGAGCCTACTTAAAACACAAAAAACTGAACGGTATATTGGTCAACAGAAATTCTTTCACCTAAGAAGAAAGCTTACAGATCGGGCACGTATCACAGACACCGTTTCCTTCCAAATCAAAGCACTGTCTTTGCCTCTGGGTTGCGATGGTGGCCTGAGAACGAGCTCTGATAAGGAACAGCTTTTAGTGTTAGTCACAGAAAGTGAGGAGGCTTAGCTCGCAGTTGAGACATTGGGCTTATCGAAGAAATAAATGGGCTTATTGAAGAAATAAATCTTATAAATAATTATTTGGCAAAGATAAAGGATTAGCTTTCTTTAGCCTGACACCACTCAAGACAGTAACTACAATCTTAAGGAAAAGAAAACAAAGAAACACATCTTCCAACTTTATCTCCATACCTACTATTTGCTTCTTATGAAATTATAATCTTTTCATGGAGGGACACTAGACACACCGCACTGCCTGCCAGCATGAAATTGCTCAGGAAGTCACTTATAAAGCAGTTCTATCTCACGTGGTAGGTTACTAGAGGGGAAAAAAAAAATCCTTCACCATATAAGCTTTGTGACGATAATTACAAAATTTTTCCATTGCATAGTCTGTCATTTGGTGGGTTAAGTGTAATTGCTATTTACTATTGTGAATTGTTACTAGCTACATAACCTACGCAGATGTGCAAATTACTAAGCCATTTTTACAGAGAAAAAAACAATGTCTTAAGTACTTTAATTAAAATAATATTAACAATTATGTAGAGAGAGTAAAGGAGAGAAAACACATCTTTTCTTCGGATGCTATAGATCACAGCCAGTGAGTATCATTCGTTAGAATGGACTTCAGATTCTCAGAGCACAGAATGTATCCATTAACTGCAGCAACTCTGTAAATTAAATCACATTAACACAATCTAACTGGCCTTTATAAATGGTCCCAAAGAACTGCAGAAATAGAGTGACCCTTCTCTGCCACTATTTCTGATGAGTTTCACCCTAGAATAAAAAGCTAGCTTCCACCTAATTAGGACCTTACATACAATCTGTTTTTGATTCCAGTATTGCCTTATTATAGTATAGTGTAAGTGCTATTTAAAAGACACTAATTTTCCTGTTTCTGGAGGAAAAGACAATTCATTCCTTCCTCTACACATTAACAGCAAACCTACTACTGATAGACGAGAATTGCTCTATATCAGCTAAAAGAAAAACGTTAACAGGTGTCTCTGGGTTCACAGATGTTCTTCTGTCTTCCAAAAAGGGACTCGCAAGAAACCGCAAAGGCAAAGCAAATTGCAAGCTTGGATATTTGTTTTGCAGTAGATGAAATGAGAGGACAAATTTGTTTTTTGCTAATTCCTCAAACCTACACTGGTACTTTCTACGGGTGCCCTTTCTTCAGCTATCACTGTGGGCGTCTAAACAAAAATGAATTTACTCAAAAGTTTTTGGTGTGAAGCTGTAACTGGCAACATTCCTGATCATTTCGTGCCTCCTTATTAGAAAGCAGGAAAGGGCTTTTAAATGCACACAAAACAGAAAATTGCGAACAATAAAATGTGCAACTTACTGCAAACTCAGTTTTGATAACTGAAGAATTTTAAGCAGCTACCACGAGGGACAAATAGCCAGAAAAGTTCAAACCGACTCCCCATGACTTTCCGTTTGCTGTCAAAGAAGGGGGCCGGTAAGATAGTGTCCTGCTCTGGTACAACCTTGGATTAGTACACGATGGAGACTAGACCAAATTGCTGGGAATGGACAGTTATCCGGCGAGGATTAGAATGGGAGGCGAAACGACTGGAGCAAACTAAATGACACTTCTGAGCAGAGGTAACTACTCATCATCATTTCATTACAGTACATTAAAATAAAAAAGCTTACTAACATAGGTTCACAGGTGAGAAATATTCAAATTATCTGCTCTCACCGTTCAGAATAGAAATTTATGGTGATACCAAATATAATTTTGCTTTGTGACATAATTTATAATTTAGAAATTTCTCAATCTGCAAAAAAGGCAAAGCTATTAAAAAATAAATCTTCCAATCAATTATCATGATTAAAAAAAAACTAAATATATTACAAACATATTTTTGGCCCACAAAAAGAAACTTCAATAAATACAAAATAGGGCATATAATGATTTCATACAGTCATGGGACATTTCCCCTCCATAACCTCAGGCGCATGGCATCTGCATAATGCCTGCTGATCACCATCATTCCTTTAAAAAGCAGAGAAAGAAAAGCTTTCAAAAGAAGGGAACTGGTTAGAATTAGCATGGCATAAAGAGAATACATATAGGAAGTAGGAAAATACATCCAAATCTTTACCTATTGAAAAGGAATTCAGATCAAATATTCCCTGACCAATGAATTATTATATCACATCATTAATAGATATGTTCTCTCTACTCATCTTTTAAAATATATATATGTAAATTAGACTAGACTCAGGTATAAATAGCCAATGGTATCTCAGGGGATGGTGAAACTTCTCAGCAAAAGCAGAAGAGTACAGATGACTTTAAAATCTAGTTCCACCCTTGGGAAGGGGGCAGGGGAGAAGGCAGGTAAAAAGAAACCTCACATATTCATTTCCATAGTCACCAACTTACTAAACTACCCAATATAATTTTCAACCCTAAAATCTCGGTACTTTAAAAAAAATTCTGCAGCTTCAATCTAAGTACTTAAATTGTTTTAAAAGTACCAACAGGGTAGGTAAAATTTAGGTCTAATTTCCATATTCTGCTTTGAAAGAAACTTTAAAATGTGTATCCTTCAGATATTACACGTCACTTCACAACTGGCACATTGATTCTACAAGTGTCTTCAACATTTTACAACTCTTACCAAAGAATCACTACTGTAAACATGAAAAATCCAAAAGTAAAAGATGGACCAAGGAGTTCGGAGACTCCATCTTTCCAAACGTATCTGACCTAGCCTGCTTTTCACATCAAAATATGGTCTTTAATTACATCTCGTGAATGTATTCCATGAGAGAGGATGGAGAAACAAACACCTGTCTAAAAAGGCAAAATAACCACCAGACCTCAGAATCTCAGCAACCCTGCAGTCACTCCATGCTTTTTGTGACATCCCCACGGCCCTGACATGAATTCAGCTTCTCGTGTTCTTGGATAACTTAGCGGAAGAGGGTTGTACAATTCACGTCACCAGACCACCACCCTCTCTATTTGGGAAACTTCGTTAATTCGGTGGGAAAGGATGACCAACCTTATTAGGGTTGTGAGACGTGGGAAAGGAGAAGTAAGAGCCTTATTATACTCGTTAGGAAAGAAAAAAAAAACAGAAAGAAAGAAAGAAAAAGAACAACCATGGGACAGCTGCTTCCTGCCCTGCACAAAAACACACACATGGGCGCACACATTCACACAGGCGGTCAAAAGACTAATAATGTTTTTCTTTTTAATTGAACATGATCACAATTAGGAATGGAATCCTGGCCTCGTGCGGTGTTTAGCAGTTGGTGCTAAGTCAGAGCCTTGATCTGTCCCTACACACCATTTGCTGTCTCTTACACGGGAACTCGATGAACAGGACCATTCTATCTAGAACCACCTCTGTAAAGACCTGGTAATAGAATGGAAAGCATCGATCTGAATACTAGGAAATAGTAAAGGGCACTGGTAATCTGAGGTATCTTCCACTTCTAGGACTTGCTGCTAAAAATCAATTCTATCCAGTCACTGTGCTGAGCCACTAAGGAAACCACTGGGGTAAGAGTGAACCCGCCGGGAGGGAATGAGCACCAGTGCAAAGGAGCACATGTGAACACTGAAGCGAGGTCCACTGCAGGGTTACTTGTTTAACTGGAAAAAGGAGTTCCCCTCTAGTCCCCATCTGTTATTTTTAAAATCTTCTTTAGGAAAAGGGGAAAGGGATGATCAACAGGAAACAAAGATAGAAAACACCAGGTTCCCCACCTGCCTGCAAACACACAGACACGCTCAGTTAGGGGAGGTAAAGGGAGAAGATGCATTATTGGTACTTGTAGCTGTGGCACCTGTTACCGTGAAGCCTGTAGGAGGGGCTATAGAGCTGTGGCTGGGCTGCAGGTCCTTAGGAATGCCACTGTGAGAACTCAGCTGGTGGCCGAAGGCTGCGCTGAACTGAGGGAGTTGCTGCTTGGGAGAGGTGGAGGCCATGAGTTCAGCAGAAGGCCCCATGCCACTGAAGCTGGTCTGCGGTAACCCCGGAAGCACGCTGGAGCTGCTGGGGGTCACGGTGGCGAAGGCAGGCTGTGTGGTCTCTGAGTTCGAAGTGGTGGGTGGCGTGGATAGGGAAGTGGAAAGAAGATGTCCATCTGCGCCAAGAAGGTTGCTAAATGGAGAGGGATCTCCAAGGTTGACAGGGAGATTGCCCCAGTGAGTTCTGGGGTTCACGACTCCTCCAAGTGGCACCTCGAGTTGGGTTGGGAGCAAGTGCTGCGCCATGATGGGCATCTCTGCTGAAAAGGTAGCTGCCATATTATCACCAGAGTAAGATGTTGTGTGGGGAGAGGTGATATGGTCACTGTAGGGAGACGGCACGTGCTCACTATCATAATGGCTTCCATGGGGCGAGGAGTGTGAATGATCACTGCTGTATTGCTGTCGTGAGGTGATTAGGTCATCTGCCTTGCTCAGCAGCTGGGCAGGATGTGGCCTCTGGGAGGCATGGCTGCCATCATGTAGTCCATGAAACTGTCCTGGGAAGGCTCTCTCCCCAAGTGCACTCTGGCTGATCAGAGTGGCAGAAGTAAGGCCGACGTTGGCTGGGGCAGAGAACTGCCCTTGGATCTGCCCTGCCAGGGGTGTAGGTGGGTTAGACAAGGTAGCAGAACGGAGCAGGTTCTCATCCAGCTCTAGACTAGAAAAATTATCATGTACTATGCGCCCATTCAGTAGCTCCCCTAGGTCTGTGTTTACTTCTCGGCTCAAGGACTGAATTCCTGAAGCTCCAGTACCTGTGGAGAACACCCCTATTCCTCTCTCTGACAGCTCCTGGACTGGCACACCATCTGACTGGGTAAGTACCCCAATGGTACTCAGGCACTCAAGAGAAGTGACAGCCTGCAAGGCCCGCTCAAGTTCCTCGGCCTCTTCGGTAGTTGGAAGAAGGTCTCCGTTCTTTCCTGAGCAAAACAAAAGCCGTCAAGAGAATCAGCAGAGTCGTTACGTATGCCACACCACAAAAATCCTCCATTGGAATTATCTGTAGCAGTATTCTATTAAAGAGAGGCCCCACGGAAAAGGGAAGCTTCCAGGGACTAGACTGGAAAGAAAGAGTGAAAGAGTAATCTGCAGGACAGGCCTGAGAGGTCAAGCTGGCCTGCAGCCTGTATCTTCAGTTTACTTACAGCAGTGTCTAAACCCAGCTGGCCAAAGCGTTAAATTCGTTAGGATTCTTCTAAGCATTACCGACTTAAAATGCATGGTGGCCGTCTGATTACACATGTTTTTACCTGAAGGTATGTCAAAATCATTACAACAGAAAATATATCATATTGGTTCGGACTGGAGACAAAAAGCCATGCAAGAGTCCCCTCGGTGCTTCTGCTCTTGAACTCTCTCCTCCAGCAGGAGGGCGGCCGTAGAAGACAGAGGGAAAAGAGACAGGCGGCGCACCCGGGAGCTGAGCACTCACTCGCACTCAGTCCTCTCCAAAACGCTTCTGTGTGTTTCCCGCTAGTCCTGCTCCCCTCATGCCAGTTTTCGAGAGGAAAGCCTGGGGGCTGCCACTGACTTTGTCTCCAACATTAAACATCTCTAGAGTGAGGAACTTGACTAGTCACCAGAAAAATATCCAGTTTTTAATGGTGAAAGAAACTTTCTAATGGCATAAAAGGTTTTCCCTGAAAGCACCACAGAACTGGTGGGATTAAAGCAAACATTGTTTTAGAAAAGTGCACTTCAACTCAAGTACAGGGTGGGGTATTGGAACAGGACGAGTTCTTTTTTTTTTTTTTTTTTTTTTTTTTCAACGTTTATTTATTTATTTTTGGGACAGAGAGAGACAGAGCATGAACGGGGGAGGGGCAGAGAGAGAGGGAGACACAGAATCAGAAACAGGCTCCAGGCTCTGAGCCTTCGGCCCAGAGCCTGACGCGGGGCTCGAACTCACGGACCGCGAGATCATGACCTGGCTGAAGTCGGCCGCTTAACCGACTGCGCCACCCAGGCGCCCCGGAACAGGACGAGTTCTAAAAGGCTTCAGTAAACTCAAGTTTAAGATGTTTTTGTTGAAAAATAGAGTAAAATGACTCATTTTAAAGGGACAAAGTTAACAACCTAACAGTTGAATGATCAACCTACTAAGCCTATTAATTTGGCTAGTTGGACAAACCGCACTCCTTACCTTCTGAAAGCAGGGTAAAATCGATTTAGCAGGGTTGCATTTTCTAATTACAGTGGAAGACACTGTGTGTGAGGAGGAATACTTCACAAACGCTATTTCCCTTTTTAAAAACTCATTCAGCCTTCTTGAATCAAAAAATTGAGCCATACCTTCAAAAAAATCAAAATCTTGTAAGTCATCAGGCAGCCGTGGCAGGACGTCTGAAAAGTCCTCCTGGTTCAATTCCAAGTCATGTGGAATGTCAGTGATCTCATTGGCAATGTCGTCCGGCAATTCATCAGCACTCAGCTCCGGCGTGGATGGGCTCCTGGGGAAGAGGACACAGTTGGCCCCATCACGCCCCTTATCCCTTCACACCAGTGTCCCCAAGACACGTTCGTCAAATGTGAAAATGGGAAATCCTAGCTTAAAATGTCTCCTTTTCCTACTTCCAGAAAAAAGGAAATTTGCAAGCAAAAGGAAGACCTGACCATACTCAGTCACACAGCCCCAAAATCTTCACCCATGTAGGAAGAGAAGGCAACCGTTTCAAGATAGCTTTACCTCACATTAGTAGAACAAATCACAATTTTGTGCATTGAGTGTGTCTTAATACTTTTTAGAATTTCAAGTCTAGTCAAATAGTAATTTTTAAAAAGTGAAATGGACAGATAAAACTGAAATGTCTAGCTGAAACAGAAGCCTCATTCGACTGGTCAAAATGCTTAACTCCTGCCAAAATCAGTAAGGTATCAGATTTCTGACGGAACATTTCTGTCGAAACATATATGGAATTTCTGCTAAAGCAGAAAAATCTGAGGGCAGACAATTAAATTCTCAATTTCAGCATCTGCTTTCTGTGTTACAGTGAAAAACTTTATTTCAGATCTCACCCAATCAGATATTTGGTAAAAATTACATTGAAGACTACAAGGTCTAGGCTCGTCTATCGAATGGCTTCGGTGGCCGAGCTGCAACGCTACAGAGATGATGCTAGGTGTTGTGAGAACCATCACTGACCGGATCTGAGCGGTCTCCACTGGCAGTGAGACGCTGGTGGGCATGCTGAGGTTCCCTTGGGGGACTGCAGGGGGAATGGGTTTTTGGGGTCGACGAGGTCCACGCCGTCTCTTCTTCTTGTGTTTTTTGGTAAGTGCAGGAGGCTTGGTTTTTTTCCTGGGTTTCCTCTGCTGCTGGTGCTGAACTTTACGGGAGCTATCTCCTCTCAAGAAATTATCCTTTGAAATGAACAAATGGGTATTTTTAAACTGAGAATGTTTGGGAAAAGCCTAAGAGCTATCTGAAAAAATTACTCCCATCTCTTAACATTCTATAGAATGCCTAAAACATACTGTATACCTACAGCAAATATAACCATAAGTAAATGAGTAAAGAATTCATTTTTTTAACTTAATTCAAATTAATCCAAATCAATACATACAGTTCACCCCACATTTAAGGACACTGTGAGATTTTGGCAGGCCGAGAGGGAGGTGTGGGTGGGTAGAAGGGATAGG